ATCGCTCACGTGCCGTGAGCAACCACTGAATTCCTGTTGTCACTCTCCGTTCGATCTTCTTCGGCTCAACAGGAGCACTTCACTGTGTGCGGTGACGAGAGGCAGATCAATCTATCGAAGAGATCGATGCGGGCCTTTTCTTCTATTTTGCGATAGATGGAGAACAGGGAGGCGGGGGCGGGATCAGGAGCCGAGATCGGGCTCTAGCTAACAAATCTCCTACTTGGAGACCGATACACATGCTACAACGTCTTCTTCGTTGAACTGGTATCCTCCACTGGCGACATCGCATTTTTTTCTTCAAACGTGAATCCTCTACCTCTGCAACTCAAAATCTCTGTCTTCACATCAGAAGCCTAATTGAAGCTGTACACAACTTCAGTTTCTCAAGAGTAACACCCTTAGTCAACAGATCAGCATACGAGAGCCCAACGGTTATCCTCCACTGGTGACGTCGCATTTTTTTCTTCAAACGTGAATCTTACATCTCTGCAACTCAAAACCCTTGTCTTCACACCAGAAGCCCAACTGAAGTTGTGCGCAATTTTATTTTCTCAAGAGCAACACCCTTAGTCAACATATCAGCAGAGTTAACATAGTCTTGCACCTCCAAACTATTTCTCGAGTTAATTTTGTCTCTGCTTAACTCCCATTGCATGGGCAATATCTTGCCTCTGCTGAAAGTCTTTTTCAACAAGTCTAGCCTTGTACCTCTTACTGCCATCAAACTCAGTCTTCACCCCGGTACACCCACTTGTTGTGTAATGTCTTCTTCCATGGTGGAAGTTCTGTCAACTCCCACTTGCTCGAATTTTTATATTGCAAGATTTCTTCATAACTCTATGGTTCTCTACCATCTGTTTGTGGAACAATAAGAATGGGTGCCCCAGATCCACTCTCCTCTTCACTTCCATCATCAAAAGAACTATGAACTGTCAGTAATAGTGCATCTTGTACTTCTTCAGAAACCACATTTGAGTTATCATTCTTCATTTTCTTGGGATTCTGTAGTTCCTCTTTATGTGGTCAGCTTTGCCACAATTCCAGCAAGTTGTCTGCTGACCAGACTGTCTGCTGACCATTCTGTAGTTCCTCTTTATGTGGTCAGCTTTGCCACAATTCCAGCAAGTTGTCTGCTGACCAGACTTTGATTTTGATCTCACTCTATTTGAGTTCCTGTCCTGTCATCTCTATCTGAAATCAACATTCAGTGTTGAACTCGTACCTATGATCTTGCCAAAATCTTTCCTGCGCACCTTCTCAGTTAAAATCAAATCACGAATATAATCATATTTTAGTCTAGATTTACCTGCAGAACTGCTAACTCTCATCCTTATGGCTTCTCAACTACTTGACAACGATGCCAACAATATCAGCGCACGTATCTCATCATCAAAATCAATTTCAACGGACGATAATTGATTTGTGATAGTATTGAAATCATTCAGGTGTTGAGCAACAAAAACACCTTCAACCATTTTTAAGTTGAATAACTTCTTCATCAAGTACACTTTGTTATTCGCCGATGACTTTTCATACATACCTGATAAAGCTGCTATGAGATCTGCAGTTCTCTCATTGACGACGTGTGCAACGGACCTCAATAGGGTCAATCGAATAATCCTCAGAACTTGTCGATCCAACAAATTCTATTCAGTCTCATCCATCTTTTCAGGTCTTTTCCCCAATAATGGAAGATAAAATTTTTTCCCATAGAGGTAGTCATTTATTTGCATTTTTCAATAACCAAAATCTGTGTCATCAAATTTCTGGATCTTTGAAACCTTCACTTCGTCTGCAACCATCATTCTTTCTCAGATCCGAAACACGACTCTGATACCAATTGTTGTGGTATATATATAAAATAGAACGATCGACGACGAAGCGAAAAATAGAACGAGAAAATTCACATTAGAAAATAATAATAGCGGAATTCACAAATTTACGTGGTTCGACAAATTGCCTACATCCATGGAGTTGAGAGGATTTTATTACTTGAGAAATTTACACCAGTCGATAGTCTCGACAATTATAAGAGCAAACTCTTTCTCCCTTCTTACTTTTCTCTCTCTACATCGAGATACACTAAAGAAGAAGAAATCCGAAAAACTAGAACCTGCGATGCCTGCAATGCTCCGACCAGTTTCTTCTGCTTTGCCCACTATCTTTTGGATCGTTCACGTCCCGTGAGCAACCACCGAATTCCTACTGCCACTCTCCATTCGATCTTCTTCGGCTCAACAAGAGCACTTCACTGTGTGCAGTGACGAGAGGCGAATCAATCTATCAAAGAGATCGATGCGGGCCTTTTCTTCTACTTCGTGACAGTGACGAGAGGCGAATCAATCTATCGAAGAGATCGATGCGGGCCTTTTCTTCTACTTCGTGATAGATGAAGAACAGGGAGGCGAGGGCGGATTAGGCTCCAACTAACACAAAAGTAGCTGATAGGTGCTCGGTTTCGAGACTCATTTTATCCAATACCGATTTGAGCAGGATATTTACTGAGTGTAGGTGTCGACGAGAATGCTTCCTATTTAGAAATTTTCGATGAGGGTCGTAACAACAATCACATCGTTGTAGGAATTTCTCTTAGGAGACAAGTTTTTATCGGTAAATGTGATAGGTGGTGTTGTTCGACTGGTCGTGTGGATAAGGTTTTCACGTATGGCTTGCCTGAGCGAAATTTTTTTAGATTTATTCATCGGGAGGCCTCTACTTTGTCTACTTCTGGGATGGTGGTGACGACTCCTACGATGTGGATGGCATGAATTTGGGCCGACTCACCTTGCTCTACTGTTGCCGGTATCTTTCCTGGACGTTGATCGACTCCCTTGGTCGCTAAGAATTTCTTCGGCTTCTCAACTCGAGTCAATTCCTTCAGCTTCCTTGTATCCGGGCATCGAAATGCTCGCTCGAGAAGCTTAAATTTATGGGGAATCTTGCTTCATGAGCTCAGAAGGCTCGGTCGAGTGTCCTTACAAGCCTCATAAGTCTCTTTTGCGCATGGAAATGAGTGTTTTTACTCGTTCATCCCTTTCCTTTGCTCGCAGTTGTCCTAGGTAATCTAGCCACTCGAGCTACTTGAGCCACTACAATAATCGTTCTCTATCCCGCTTTTCTCGCTCAAGATTCATCCCCTTGTCTCCTGTCTTCTTATCGGTCTGGTCGACTATACACTTTCCTTGCCTTTGCTCTCGCTTACTTTAGCTCTTGCGCTCACGCTCTCTCATTTCTCTTTCTCTGGCTCGTGCATTTGATTCAAACAAAGCAAGGGGATAAACCCTCATTTTGAATTCCAGGGGGGCGGCTAAACTCTGCTCGATAGACACTAGTTGTGAAGGTGTACACAGTTAATTGCATCATTTTTTTTAAATCAAATTAATACAAATTTAAAAGATTATTATTACACAAGCATGAATTAATATTATTATTTTTTATTTCATAATAACAAGCCGAAAAGAGCCGGTTCAAACTTGTAGATTTAAACTAGAGACCGAACGCAAGCTCAATCTCAAGTTATGATGGCTTGAGCTCGACTTGACTCGATTCATTTACACCTATATTCACAAGCAATCTACTGCTGCATAGAGAAATAACACTTCGCAACAATGCTGCACAGACGCTGAGATTTATCTCTCTGCTTAAAAGGACACTTTTTGTTTTTAAGAACTCTGATTATCGACCAACTTGATTTACCTTTGCCCGGTAGAGATAAAAAAAATAGACGTAACATCTTTTAAACTGAACAAGAAGAAGTGCTAATGCTGATTACATCATACATATAACGCAAATTGAATGAATTTCCTTTCCTTCTTCATAAAGGCATCGCTAATTGAATGTGTTTACGACCTTGTTTGGTTCCTTGCTAGACTAAACCAGTTAAAGGCATGCTAAAACCAACTTTTCTCTTAAGGAAGATTTACATGCATACCACTTAATTCTTATGTATTTAAATATGTAACACTTAAACTTCAATTTGTATATATATATATATATATATATCTGTGTGTGTGTGTTGTGTGTGTGTGTGTGTGTGTGTTGCCTACCGTGACTCTTTGGTTTACAGAGGTTTTAAGACCGCTGAGGTCATAGGTTCGATCCCGTCTATGTGCATAATAAAATTCTTAGGCACATGAGGTTGGAAGGGAGACTCGTCTAATAGCCTCTGGCCAATCTTTTTAATATATATATATATATATCACTTTTTAAAATTAAAATAGTGGTATTTTTTATGTGATATGAATGTCTAATAGCCTCTGGCCAATCTTTTCACTTTTTAAAATTAAAATAGTGGTTTTTTTTATGTGATATGAAAGATTTGGATGGTGAATAAATGGAAAAGTCAAGCTTGGATCATAAATATGTGAATATAAGAATTGAGTGGTTTTCATTTAAATGGCCCCTTCTCTTAAATTTGTTTTGTGAGAGCCATGCTATTGTGGAATATTTAGTAAGTTCCTTAAAGTACAATGTTAATACCAAAACAACAGGTGCTATTTTAGATGCATGCACTATACTTCCATTTTCAATATTCAATACTTGATTTCATAGTTGTGAAAACAGGTAATATGAACCAAATATAAATAATTTGGCTTGTTTTATTTGATGGTGATAGTGCATGGTATTAAATTTTTGGAAGATTTACATATTTACCACTCAACTCCTATATCTTTATATATCTAACACCTATACTTCCATTTATACATACACAGCTCCTTTCTTATGCATGAAAAAGTGTATTTCAGTTTTGAAAGTTAAAAAAGTGGTATTTTCTTATGTGATACGGGAGATTTTGGTTGTATAAATGTAAACAAATGATGGTTAGGTGTTAGATATGTAAATACGTAAGAATTGGGTGGGTTCTTTGATTTGCAATAATACTTCTTTTTAAAACCTGGGCTGCTCAGTACAAAACTGCATGATTTTATTTCCGTTTTGCAGCCTCGATCACATTGGTTTTCATGTTCTTATATCGACACACATCTGTCTTCTAACAGCTATGTAGGGATTAAAATGGTTGTATTTGGGGGTTCTGAATTCCAGAATTGGAAGGAGAATGTTGGTTCAGAAGATGCAGGCTACAGTATTCACAGGATTTGATCATCACAAATGTAACGTACATAATCTCATGCATTTTACGTAATTTGTTTCTCTAAAAATTAACTAACATTTGTGCTTTGCACTTGAAATGAAACTATTTTGATAGTTGTGTGGCATTATATTTTTGTACTAAAGTAATTCTAAAAACTGATTATTTGAGAAATTTACATGCCACACAATTGTTATGTATTTGCACATCAAACACCTAAACTTGTATACTCAACATTTAAAACTCTGGTGTGGTAAAATATTAGATATTACATACTTAAATGCATAAAGAATCGCACGGTATGTATGTAAATGTCCCTTATTATTATTACTGCAATTACTATTGTTATTATGATATTATTATAATTATAATTTTTGGATTAGAGGTACCTTCGAATTTTAATTAGGTTGCACTACATTCTTCTTATGATTATTTGTACATGTTAATTGATTCTTATCACACTTTGGGTTCGTAAGACGGCACGCCTCAATAACATAGGACATGATGAAAGGATGTGAATATGGTGTGTATTATCAAAAGGAAAGATTATACACAAGTAATAAGTAAAATAAGCAAATAAAGATTTTTTTATTTTCTTTCTTAAAAAAAGTCTAACAATTGATAACTAAAGGGGAACAAGACACTTAACTGAAATGACAATAAACAAATACTATATAGACCCAAAAGGAGAAATAATAATTAATTTAAAATTGAAAATACCCAAAAATAGATCTAAAGATGTAAAGTTTAACTCGGTGGAGACGGTTCTCCCCAGTGGTTGAGTGCAATCTATTATATAAAAATTTAGGGTTAAATTTAGTGAATAATTATTATTTATTAAAGTATAAATGATAAGAAATTGAGACATGCACTATGATCAATAGAACAAGGTAACATTCTACACACGCTAACATAATTTATGAAGGAGTATCAAATGCTTATGATCATAAATATTTGTGACTTAAACTCATGTACTTATATTTATATCACAATCTAAGTGTGCTTGTAAATATAAAATTTTATAATATTTTAACACTATCTGATAATATATGTGCAATATATGTATATACATTTATATTTATATTTATATATTGTTGGTTTCTTACATCACTTTAAAATAAGGAAAGGTAGACACTAACTCTATGAAAATCTAATGATTTATGTGAGAACTCGTTGGTTCGGCTAGCCACAAGAAGAGTTTAATGTCAACATAATAATATTATAATATCAAACATATTTCATGTACTATAATCAAAACACATGGATATAATTTATTTTATACACAATTATGAATATGTAGTAATTAGTTTGAACACAAAATATTATAAAATAATGAAGTGATTAAACAAGAGTTTATGCAACAATAAAGCAAGATAGAATACTCATGAAATACATTATGAACAAGAAACAAAATCTACTACAACTATAGTGACATGTCATGAATAAATTTTTAATATTTGGCACAAATCTTGAGAGATTTTTAAGTAAAAAATATTCTAGATTCAAATTCAAGTCTCGACAAGACAAACTCAATGACAAAGAAATTAGTCTAATCTGAGTGCAATCAAGTTCGAATCAAACCATTGAACCATATTTAGACTCTTCAGGTTGTTTAGTGAGGGGTCAAATAGACTCTAAATTTGACACACTTATAATCATATTGAGCATTTCGATGAGAGGAATCCAACGAGCTTCATTCTGTTGCGACCAAGTGGAATCAACGTGGGTTATTCTATCATATAGTTATGAGAGTTATTGATCGAATAACCAAAATACTCCCTTGTAAGGGAGAAGAAAAAGATAAGAATGTATCAAATACACATGCAATTTTGGAATGTTGACTCTGTGATAACTTTCGGCCTCCGTAGCTGCCGATCACTATTAACCACCCACCTGCCATTCATTGTCACATGCCATCTCATGCTCGCTGTCATCGATGAACTCTAAGGTGCAAGGAAATATCCTGAATGTGGTGTGACAAAGTACCCAAACACAAAATAATAAATACCCTTGAATATGGTGCAACAAAGCACCTCGAACACAGTGTAATGAAGTATTTTGAGTACTATGCAACAACATATCCCAAACATACCGTATTGAGGATCCGTAGATAACTGCCAGGGGCAACTAGTTGCAATTGTTGTCTCTGGACAATTGAAGTTTTCTTTAAACGGTATATTCACAAAGTGATCTCTTATGCAAAAAAGTAAACTTGAGAGGAGATGCAATCATAAGCTTACGGCCTTAGTGGTCATTTGCTGGTCATTTGCTGCTATTGCATCGCTACTATAACCTATATGATATACTACAACCTATGTGATTAACTACTACTATAACATTCAATATACCTAAATATTAAATTATTAAGAATTATATATGCAGGGGCATTTACATACAATCATAAGAACATAATTCTTATGTATTTATATATCTCACATCTAAACTTTCATATTGACATACGATAATTTATAGGGTTTACTGAAGCTTTTAAAGGTGATTTCCATATAAGTCCTGACAATTTATATATTTGCACAGGTAAATACTGACCCGCTATAGAAAAATATCACTGACATATAAGCTTTTAAAGTTGATTCATAAATAGCAATGTTTCAGGTAATCTTCATGTAATTATACCTATTAATAAACATAACATATAAATAAGTTAAATCCACAATATACAAGCATACAAACTAACAATATGTCATCATATTTCCCCAAAAATAAAAAAAATAAAAATTTTTTACAACAATTATAATTAACTGAGAATATTACTCGTACAAATAAAAAACCATATAAATAATTTAGCTTAAAAATCAAAACCCTAATTTTAAATTCCCAAAACAAAACCTTCAATTTCTCTTCTTTTTATTAGAAAATGATCTCTCCACATCATTCTTCTCCTTCCTCTTTTTCTTGCCCGTTTTGCGCACTCCATTCTCCACTTTTAACTTGCTGGATTTTACACTAATAATACCACTGGAAGAGACCCTACCACCTCCATTCCCAAGCGCTTTCTCAAAATCACTTTCTCTGTCCACAATGGCGTATTTCTGTAGCTGCTCCGGCTTCAGGATGCCTTCCTTGTCCGCTTTCATATTTTCCTGAGCGGAAAATTATAAAGTTAAGCTAAAACAAACATAGAAATGTATAACAAGCAAAATTAAAATAATAATAATAAGGGGGCATTTACATATATATAGCATTCAATTCTTATGAATTTACGTATCTCACAGCAAAATCACGCAGCATAGCTCTCAATTCTTTCGTATCACATCAAAAACAACACTAATTATCACCTTTTAATAGTCGGATTCACATTTTCATGTATAGGTAAAGTGCTATGCGTGTAAATATGAATGTTTAGGTGTGAGATGTGTATATTCACAGGAATTGCATGCTAAATATGTAAATTTTCCTAATAATAAATGAATAAATATGTAAAAACAGTTGATTTACCATGACTTCCTTGGCTGCCTCATTAAGATCCTCATCAACTGATATACTATGAGGGGCCAATGCAACCTGAGAACACAATAGAGTGAGAAATTGCTGAAGATGTTGTAAGTAAAATGGTTAGGGACAGTTTGTGATCACTTTTGATTCTGTTTTTTTAGTTTATTTTATTTATGTTTTGATTTGAAATAAAATTTATTTACAGAAGTTGATTCATTGTAAATAAAAAATAAAAGGCGAGTTTATATACGTACCACCCAATTCCTTTCTATTTACATATGTAACACCTAAATTTTACTTTTATAGTTTATTTCCCACCCTAATCATTCATATCACATAAAAAACGCCACCATTTTAACATGTAAAACGTGAAATACATCTTTTCATGCATAAGTAAGGTGGCATGCATGTAAAAATTAAAATTTAGGTGTTAGATATGTAAATAGATAGAAAATGAGTGGTAGCATGTATTTGAATCACCCCATTCAACTTATTCATAAAAAGAAAAAGGAGGGAAAGTCACCGCATTATACTTATTTCACTTTTTACAAGTACAAAAAGCAGCATTTTTGATGTGATATGAAAGATTTGGCTGGCATTAATGTTAAAAATTGAAGTTTAGTTGTTAGATACGTAAATAAATCGAAGTTGAATGTATGTAATGGTCACCCCCCTTCCCCCCTTCACCCAAAAAAAGGCCACAAAATTGTATTGCATGCATGGTCGTTTTAAAAGGAAATATGATGAATTTTATCGAGTCACAATACACACCTTCAATAGTTAACAGTTCCTAAGGTCCATTCCTTAAAATTTTCATTATTTAACCAAAATTTGCACCATAAATAAGAACTAAAGCAAAATAATGTATGAGGAAATAAATGAGAGAAATCATAGTATGAAGCTGAAAAAAAAAACACATACTTCTCTAAGTCGAGGTAAACTTGCGTCAATTTCTTTAGCCGCAACGCCGTATAGGTATTTGTATAATTTCTTCATAACCTTTATAAATAATGATAGTATTTGCTCCCTTTCTAACTTCATCTCCTCCTGCATTTTACAGTAGTCCAAAGTGGGAAAGGTGAATGCCAATGAATGTTCAGTGTTTCATTTTTCAGTAAAATTTAATTATAAAATGAATAAATGAATCACAAATCATTACAAGAAACCATAAATTTTATCAAATAATATAAAAAAAAAACTAACCTTTATATGTGAAATGTCATGGTTTTGCATGCCTATGCAGAACAGAACAGAAGCTTGGACAGGAGATATAGTGACAGGGAGTTCACCTTGGAAGAAGTGATGTGCAAGTACTGGCACAAGATCAAGAATCTACATAAAGTAGCACTTAAGAAATAAAGGTATAGTACTAAAAAAAAAGAAAGATGAATCAATTGATACAAGCTTGAAAAAAAAAAATGACTTTTTATAAAGATTAAGAAAAGGAGCATTTACATATATATCACCCAATGCTTATGTATTTGCATATCTAACATTTAAACTTCATGTTTACATGCATAGCACTCAAATCATTAATATCGCATCAAAATAAAACTTTTACTATTTTAAGTGAAATACACCTTTTCTTGCCTAAATTTTTGACACCAAAGTGTAATAAATGTAAATATTCTTGCAAAGGTTTTTGACACCAAAGTGTAATAAATGTAAATATAAAAGTTGTGTTAGATATGTATACACATTATAATTGTATGTTATGTATGTAAATTTAAATTTAGAAAAATCAAATTTTTCTAAAGATATGTAAATGTGGAAGAGAGACATGAAGGTGCTCGTCTCAGCTTGTAATGGGATGCAAAAAAAGTGTTTCGGAAAGCAAACCAAAAAAATACATCTGCAAGAAGGAAATTATTGTTGATTTTTACCAAAATTCATTATTTAAAAATTCACTAGGAGTCTCAAAACAATTTCAGGATCATAGGGTTTTTTATGAAATAAATAAAAATAAATGTTTACCCAAAATTGGGGTCAACAGAATCCAAAGAATAATTAGACCCCATTATACTTTAGTGGGCTTAAGTAATAAGTCATGTGCAAATTGATCAATTAGGCAAGCTAAAGCTCGGATTCCCATGATTGGCACCTTAATTATAAAACCAATATCAAATTAGTTAAAACAGAGCTTAATTAAAAAAACTAGACCTTAAAACTCTGAAATTAGGCTAAAGTAGGCCACTTAATTAATCTTAAAACTTAATTAAAGCCCTACTCATAAACCAAAACTAATCATATAATAATTCGATTAATTTAGCATTTTTAATATACTTTTCTTCCAATTTTCGATCAATTAAATTAATATTTTTAAGAAAAGGGACAGCTTAATGGGGTCGGATCTAACCAGATGCAAACCAAAAAGCACGGCTGTTCAATCCTAATCCAGAATCAATACATGCATGCTTCCACACAAGATACAATCTTAGCAAAAGAAGATGAATTAGTTCCACTTGATGCTTAACCGAATCTAACATTTCTAGCAAATGCAACCTATACGCTGAAGCTCCTAACTTACGACACCAGAAAAAGCCACACCAAATTCATCTTTACCTCACCGCTCCATAAATGAGAACATCCCCTCATCCTACTCCATCTATCATGGGCGGGAGCATTTTAAAGTGTGGGCCAACCCTCAAAAGTTTTATTATTTTATCGAATATTTAATATTTAATATTAAATTTATTAAATATTAAATTAATGATGTTGCCCAATTCCCATAAAAAATACCCAACCAAACCAATTGTCTATATATAATTTCTTATAGTTTTACAGTATTATCTATTAATATTTTCATTTCATAAATCGGATAATATTATCTAACTAGTTATTTGTATTTTTCTTTAGAAACACTAATTATATACATTTTTATTCATTTAATTATTGTTATTATTATTAATATTCAATTAATATTATATTTAATGCTTAAAATTTTGTCCATCCTAAGAATGGGCCCCTATGAGCCTATATATATTACTCCTGCAACTCTCAAGATAAAAGAACAAGTGAGAGTGTATGTGAGCAAGGCGACAATAACTGAATATGAAAAATAATCCCTCAAAACCACAATCTGAGCGTCTCTAGAAAGCCTAAAATTTAAATCATGCTACACTGATTGACCCGCACGGGACGCAGGATGCGGTAGTGACAGCTGCCGATCCAGTTGCTTGAACCGACCCACAAGGGAAGAGAGGGCCCATACAATCCTTCCTTGAGAGGGATTTGTCGTGTAACTGAGATGGTCCGCCCTTAGCTAACCTAATAATATTTATATGTCATTTTCCTGTGTTTAGGCCAGTTTTTGCTTTCCAATTTCTGCAAGGGATGGCCACCAACGTCCAGTTTTCCCTCCTAAAGCTATATCTGAAAGCGAGAATGTGCTTCGGTTGTAACTCGTCTCGAGGTGGTGTGTATCAATCGCTCCCTGTTTCCCACAGCCTCTTGCCCCTGCTGCCTCCATCTCACCGTAATTGCTGGCGAGTGGCGTCACTTGGAAAACTGCCTCCGGCTTTTTCCTTGCAGCTGGCCAGCACTCCCAGCCACTCCATCTTGCTGCCAGTTTTCCAAACTGCCTCCAGCCACCCCACCTACTCGCTTCCACCCTTTTTCCAGCCATTCCAACTGCTGCCAGCCTTCCACAACACCTCCATCTCACTGCCAACCAGTCCAGCCGCTTCTTCTACCCCCCCCCCCCACCCCCCCCTTGCTGCCAGTTTTCCAAAAAACTGCCTCCAGCCACCCCACCTACTTGCTTCCACCCTTTTTCCAGCCATTCCAACTGCTGCCAGCCTTCCACAACACCTCCATCTCACTGCCAACCAGTCCAGCCGCTTCTTCTACCTGCTGCCACCCCTTCACGTCACACTTTCATACTTGCTGCCGCTCTTCTGGCCTCCTCCCAGCTGCCGCCGCCCTCCTTCCAGCCACCTCCAACCCTTTTTATCTATTATTTCTTCTTAAACCACAACAGTTTCTTCTTCGAGTCATAGACCTAGTTGAGTAGTGTTGTGTCTTTGTTATTTCCTAGTTCTAGGAGTTCCAAGTGTATTTGATTGTAACATATTTGCTTTTGAGTAATAATATTTGTTTTCCCTATTGTGGTTTGGGTTAACTCCGTAACACTACATCATGACAACTTTTCTAAAATCACCTTCCACAAAACTTAAATCATGCCAAGCTCCACTGTGGCATCTTTTGGAGCCCATTCCTGATCCTGACATGAAATCTTGTAAGAATTTGTAACTGCTTTCTTAACAGCCAAAAAAACAAACAAATCAACAAAAATTGTCCAAGGGATGATATGCCTCAGTCAGACACATGATTTGGTCTCTAGAGAAAGAAAAAGGATGTATATGGCAAGGCCCTATAACAGATACCAATTAAAAATATATCATACTGCAACCAAGATCCCCCACCTACTTAAAGATGAGCCAGCTCACCATGTCAAGCGGGATGGGTCCCACTTACACCGATCAATGGAACAAAAATACAAAATATCATGCCTTTAAGAAACTTGATTAAACCAAAAAAGATGGGCATTTACATACATACCACACAATTCTTATGTAGTTACATATCTAACACCAACATATTGATATTTACATGCATATGACTCAAACCTATAACATCACATAAAAACTTCCACAATCGTTACCTTCTTAAAAGTGAAGCACACCTTCCCATTCAAAAGCTTATGAAACCAGATGTTACAAGGAAAAATATCAAACAATGGGTGTTAGATATGTAAATACAGAAGAACTGTGTGGTATGTATGTAAATTTCCCAAAAAAGATAACGATAACAGCAACAATAATAATAATAATAATAAAATGTTTAATAATTAAAAATAAAAGCTACTCAACCATAACTCAATACCTTATTTCCTACAAAAAAAATAATGAATCTATGAAGATGAGATGGCAATGAAGTCGAATAAATGTGTCTAATAATGCAAGGCTTGAATCTATAAAAAATAAGCCACCATGTACACGTGGCAACACATGGTCTCATAGCAAACAAAAAATTGTAAGTTTTCTTTTTTGTTTTTTTTTTACTATTAATAAAGTTGTTTTCATTTTAAAGGCTAAGGCTTGCTAACATAGAAGCTGAAAATCATAGTTAAGCGACCTCTCTAACCCCATGCCCATAGTCATACCACAAAGTTCTAAGATTTGAAACTATAGTCACAAGTAAGATCACTACCTATGAAGCATGGACATGGACAAGAAAATGACACGCGAACAACACATAATTGAAAAAATAGGACGCGTAGCTTTATGGACACGTTTTAATATATAATTAATTATTAATATAAAATATTTATTTTTTATTAAAGAGATTTGAAAATAAAGTAAAATTTAACTTGTGTTATGAAATGTCATGCCCGTAAGAACTTATTTTTAAAATTAGACATATAAATGTTTCGAAAGAATTACTCCAACTTATCTACTAAAATTTAAGGGGTCGTTTGGAATAACATTTATTTTTTGTTTTTTGTTTTTAATTTTTCTTTTGTTTTTTTATGTTTTAATTTGAAACAAAACACGTTGGTATGTTTGATTAAGATATGGTTGTTTTTTTAAAACACTCAAAATACCCAAAAGTTACTTTGAATGTTAAAAAAAAAAATGTTTATTTGTTTTTAGAAACAAAAACTAATAACATGTTAAAAATGTCTTAAACAAATATATTTTTAAAAACAAAGAAAAAACCAAAAACAAAAAATAAAAATGATCTCAAAGAAGCCTTAAAATATCATACGATTACGCCTTGTTTAATTAATTAAGTTCAATTTTAACATTTAGAATTAGAATTATCAATGGCAAAACTAGGGTGATTTCGACGAATAGTAGCTTCAGTGCAAGTGTTGCAAAGTTCACAGGATATTTGGATTGACTTCAAGGAGCATGTTTGACTCCTGCTCAGATTGTTACAAAGAAGCTCACGGCTTATGCTTTAGCGGGTGCAAATTCGACTTCGATGAACAAAATAGAACTACAATGCTTGGCTTCGACGAATGCAGGATGAACCTTTGACGCTCAACTTTTACAAAGAAAGAGAGAATTATTGATACTCAGCTTCAACAAATAGTAGATACATCTTCAATGCTCAATTTTGATTAATGCTAGAGAAAGTTTTGACATGACGAGAAAGGAGACGATTTCAACTATGAGGTATAATTAGGATTATACCTATATTTATAATTTTCTACTTCACATGTCATGTTTTTTTAAACTTCTGTTGAACTCAAGTTCGATGTCGTGTCGAGGCTTGTCCCAAACTTATTCGAGCCCAAAAAAATTCAAACTCATATTTTGAAGTATTGTACAAATGTTGGGTATTCGAATAAGTGTTGGTGTCTGATACGTGTCCGACACAAAAACAACATATTTTTAAAAGTGTCAGTGCAACATAGACCAATGCTAAACAAAGATTGTATAAACTAGCAGACCATAAATGATGAAATCAGGATTACCTTCATCCACTCAACAATTTGTTACTTAAAAGTTCCAAAACTATAATTGAGCCTAAGCAGCATCAAGAGAAATAAGTAAGGGACATTTGCGTACATACCACAAAATTCTTATATATTCACATATATAACACCCATATTTTGATCTTACACTTATATCACATTGGTGTCATGATCCTATGCATGAAGAAGTGTATATTACTTTAAAAAAGAAAGTGATGGTGATATTTTTGATGTGATATTAAAAATTTTAGTATGTGTGTAAATATGAATGTTTAAGTGTTAGATATGTAAATACATAACAATTGTGGTATGCATGCAAATGCCCATATGACTAATTATGAGAACTTGCACCCTGAAGAAGTCAAGAACCTACATCCAAACAATCCTTGTTACCCATTAACAGTACATAGTTAAAAACAAATCCAATCTATCTCATAGAGCACAATAGAATCCGAGCAAAGAATTTTTATGAACAATTTTATGATATTCAAAGGAATGACTATAAAAAAGCCAGGCCAAGTGGGACCAGGCTACGCTTCAAAATAAAACACCAGATGGAATGTGAAACAAAAATTAAAAATAAAAAAAATGCTTAGGGGCTGTTTAGGATCACTTTTGTTTTTATTTTTATTTTTTGTTTTTATTTGTTTTTTTTTGTGTTTTTATTTGAAAAAAAATGTGTTTGCCTGTATGATTAAGATATGATTGTTTTTTGAAACAATCAAAACACCATTTTTGAGTGTTTTTAAGAACATGCTAATTTATTTTTAGAAACAAAATATAAACATACGTAAAAAACACATTAAACAAATATGTTTCTAAAAACAAAAAGAAAAAAAAAAGAGGAAAAAAAAAACAAAATTGATCCCAAACAAACCCTTCGTAATCGGGCAACAAAAATAGAAAAGGTAACATAACAAGGCATTTCAAAATGGACAAACAAATCTCATTTTAGTTAAAAAAAATTCATACCATGTGATAGTCAACACAATTGTTTGTGTATGCCTCCAACCTCTTCATATCAAAAGGAGACAATAAATTCCTGAGACGCTCTGTGTTTCCCTCGTTTGAGACATCATCATGATCACCAAAGTTTATCTTCGAGGCCAAAATGCTAGGAAACAAAGTACAATGAATCATAAATAATGGATACAAACAGTGTGCTTAAAATCCTATAGACTAACCTCATTGCGAGTTTATAATCGAGGGTTTGAAAAGTGGTGCTGAGAAGTCGGCTAAATCTTCTGCAGAAATCTGCATCGAGCCAATGTGACCAACTTCATTGCCAATAGTCCGGACCAAAAGGCTGAAGGGACATTTACATATGTAGCACATAATTTTCTCACATCTAAACTTTCATATTTACATACATAGCACTTTAGTGTTTTAAAACCTATGCATAAAAATATTTATTTTACTTCTAAAAAGTGGTAATAGTGCTATTTTTAATATGATAGCAAAGATTTGAGTGCTGTGTGTAAATATGCAAGTTTATATGTGAGATGTGGAAATACATAAGAATCATGTTCTATGTGTAAAAGCCCCAAGGCTAAAATGTAGGCAACTTAGAAATTGACCTTGATAAAATGGTTCTAGAAAACCACATTGACTAGAAGCACCAACTTCGATTTCATCGGTGTTTAGTGGCTTCAAAACCATGCAGCTATGTTCACCAGTCACAGCATTCTGAACAAATTAAAAAAAAATGGGGGGGCTATTTACAAACATTTTAAAAGATGAGTTACATACATACCATTAAATTCATATGTATATTTACATATCAAACACCTAAACTTCAATTTTTACATAGATGCCACTTTGCTACTAAATTTATATGCATGAAAAGGTGTATCATACATTAAAATGGTGGTTATTTTTCTATGATGTAAAAGATTTGAGTGGCATAAATGTAAAAAGTAAAATTTAGGTTTTAGATATCTAAATATATAGAATTGGGTGGTATGTATATCAATGCCCCAATTTTAAAAGGTTCTGTATTGATGAATAAACATGCACGGAGAAGTAGCATTATTAACTGGTATTTGGCCTATATAGAACGGAAAGAAGTTATGTTTCCTCCAAAATCGAAAAAGATCTCGTGTTAGCCCGAAAGAAACGCCAATATAGTGGAGCTTTTCAGGAAGCCGCTCTCGAAGATGAACGAGAAGGGGAGGAAGGTTGGCTCTAGGCATTATATTCTCTTCCAGCAAGGATACCTGCAAACATACTTCAAGGGTAAGAATCAAATGCCACTAAAAATAAAACCCTTGTGCTCATTTTTTCAAAAGACTTTGGCACATGGTATTAGAGAAATATGAGATTTATGGGAGGGAAAAGTCTCAGCAAATACAACACTCATCAATTACAAGATAAGCATGCACAACTGTCATACACTAATTAGGAAAACCTGTACTCTACTATAAAAAAAAAAAAAAAAAAACATGTTTGCCTATTAAAAACAAAATATTTGAAAGTTGTTTTCAAAAACATAATAATTTGTTTTTAGAATTAAAAAAATTGTAAAAAACACATTAAACAAAAATTATTTTAAAAAATAAAATCGATCCCAAATGAGCCCTTACTTATTTGTTTAAGCACAACATAGTAGCATATAGCAATAAGTAATTAAGTTCCTATAGAATACTAATATAGTCCAAAACTCTTATTATAATAACTAAGTCAGAATAAGGTACATTTATTATTTTAATTCTAACTTATAGGGTGGCAATGATTTAGTAATTAAAGGTATTCCTTATGATAGTGAAGATAGCTTTTTGTCGCTGACAACCATGAAATTAAAAAAAATGATATTTGTATATGGCTTCGTCAAAAGCATATTAGTTTATGTTTTAAAGAAACTTTACATGTTGCTCATATTGATCCAACATTCCATTATCTCATCATGAAATTTTATGTTGACAATTACATAATGTATTTAAGCTTTCTAAACCTACATCATTTAACGGAGGGATACTAAATAAATGAAAAGGAAAAAAAAAAGAAAATGAGCAAGTAAATTAGTGGTTTCCATTAAAGAGGCAAAGAAGCAAAAAAGTTAACTTCAAGATGTAAAAGATGTTTTAATAGGAATAAAACTCTAAACTGTGTGCCTGCCTTAAAAAACATGAAGAATTTAAGAATTTTTGTTTAGCATGAATTATTTCTCACTCCATTGAACTCCGCTTGCAAGACTGAATTGTAATGGCCAAAAATTAAAGCATCCAATTTTTGTTTAGCATTAATTATTTCTCACTCCATTGTATTCCACTTGCAAGACTGAATTGTAAAGGCCAAAATTAAAGCATCCATTTCTTATTAAGATAAAATTTGTGCTTCATATGTTGTATAGATTATGCAAATGTTCTCCCATTCTAAGATGGCGTTATAGTCTTAAAAAGTAAACATATTCAAGAAATTCGTTGATTGTCCCAAACTCATAACCCAGGGCGAAGCCACAACCCTAATCAATTTGTACAATGGAAACATATGATTGATTAATGGAATTTTGTTTCAACAGAATAATATATAACTGTTTGACTGGAATAATTTTTCTATAATTTTACTTTTTGTGTAAAAACAAATCAACCTGTTTTTAAACATACTCAAAATATCCAAAATGATATTTTGAGTGTTTTAAAATATAATTGTTTCAACCAAATATGCTTTAATTCAAATCAAAACATGAATAAAATAAAAAAATAAAAAATTGACAAATAAAATATAAATGTGATCCCGAAAGAACTCTTAAGAAAAAAGAGCATTTCCTTTTCTCAATTTTTCTTTTCCACAAGGTATTAGAGCAAAGGAATCATCCCGTCCCTTCCCCAAACACCCCTATTAAAATAGAAGCAACATTTAAATGCCCCCTATTATGTTAGAAGCCACATCTACGAAAAATCCATTGAATCTTCGAATTCTAACACTGACTCACACTAAACACATCATCAATAAATCAATCTATCCGAATGTATATTTGTGACAGAGGAAAGATCAGACACCTAACAAGGGAGAAACAAAGCACAAACTATAAGAGAACAAACCTTAATGTTGAATTCGATTAACTCATAGCAAGAATAACTGGTCGCCAACATCTACCATGAATTAGTGAAGTATTTGCCCAAAAAAAAAAAAGAAAGTTGCAGTAGTATTATGCATGGAAGGAAAGAAAAAAACTATATACAAGTGGAACTTCGCAATCACAAAAAATAGTTTTAATTTTAAACAGTGATGACATAGAAAAATATGACAAACATGAAAAAATTGTTCAAAGATCGATAACAAACCTGCCAACCGGAAGAAAAAGAAAAATGAACAGCATGTTCCTATATCAACCTATGCAAATGAAGCCTCAACGACTACATTTAGTAACCTTGCAAACGAATCATCTTCTAAACTTACTAAAATACATTAGTTTATCCGGTACCCCTAGCGTTTCTCTTGCACAAACAGATATTTCTGATTTTAGTGTCCTGTCCTATAGCTAAACATTGTGAAATTGATCAATGAATCAGGGAAATCTAATCATATTACTTCCTCCCATTCATTGTTTGACAATTACCCATCTTATTATGAAAGTGAAGGTTCAGATTAACGATGACTATTTCATCCAAAGTAAAAAAATGTCAAAATAAATTTCCCACAAAAGAATCCTTTATTATGTCCTTCATGCTCCTAATATAATCTACAACCTACTACCAATTGTGAAAAAGCTTTACAAAAATTTTAACAGTAGAATTAATTTCTTCCAATGTTTTAAAAAATGCACTTCACGAGACAAGCGAAGAAATATGCATGAAGCACGCTTTGCTTCTCTGAGGCGCCTTCGAAGAACTTAGTTAAAAGCGAATGCAAGGCGGTTGTATGAGCGGGCTGCAGTGGTAGTAACAACAGGGGAGGGCTGCGATGGTCGGAGGAGTGTTGGACAGCTGTGGGGAAGAGCAAAAGGGTTGCGATGGGTGGGAGGAGTGCTGGGCTTCTGCAGGGGAAGAGCAGGCAGATTGCGGTGGTTGGATTGGTGTTGCATAGCAGCGGGGGAAGAGCAGCACAGGTTGCGGTGGCTAAATGAGGGTAGGCCGGCAATTGACATAGGAAATAAAGGGGTGGTTGTGGCTGGAATGATGGAACGACAGCAATAAAATGGATGTACGGTAATCTAAATGCCTCCTCGGAGTTCGAGCTATAGCCAGAGCATCACTCAGACCCTTGGAGACGGTCACCATCTAGAACGAGGGACAGCCAGAACATTTTCGTTGCCTTTAGATACAACCCTCGAGGGGTAAAACATGATGCTGACGGCTGTCCAAACAGAACGCTGAATTCTTAAGCAACAAAAACCATCCTCCTCTAAGGAAAACAACCTTTATATATAAGAGGGATTAGGACTTATATTAGGCAATGCTTTTGAATAAGAAATATAATATAATTGGCAAGATTTATAATAGGCAATGTTTTAAAACAAGAGAATAAAAATAAAAATAAAAATAATAAGAATTCATAATTCAAGTAATGTTTATAATAGGAAGAATTCAAAATAGACAAAGACTAATAAAAATATAGAAATTCAGAATTGATAAGTGCTAGAAATGAAAGGTGGGAAAAAGAAAGAGGGGAAAGGAGGAAAGGACGAAGGGGAAAGGGGGTGTCGGCAGCCCTCCCCCTTGAGGACCGGTCGGTTCCTCTCCAAAGCCCCGCTTCAGTCTCACAGGGTTGGGGGAGCTTTGACCTCATTTGTCGACGCTTCCAGATCCTCAAGTACGTTGTTAGATTTGCGACATTGAGCGTGGCTGAAATGTTGCAGTCCCCTAGAAGGTCAATCTTCTAGGCATTGTCATTCCAAAACACATTTTGGTAGAATAGACATCCGTCCACCTTTGGTATATCCTGAGCTAGAACTGTAGGTAGACGAGTATTCTCACCACTCAAGTATCGAGCCATTCCAGGGGTAACCTGCTTTTTCCATTCCTCGCAATTGGATGAGTGCAGATGAGGACTTGGTATGGAAAGAAAGATCAATGTTGGGGTAAAATTTGTGGTAGGTTGCACCCCACTCACTAGCATCGCCTCAGAAGAGACCTCTTTATTGTTAGGACTTGTATTCCATTAAAGAATGTTCCTCCCCATCAAGCTCCTAGGACCCATTATAAAGTTGAAATTCACCTATTCTGTTATGACATCGGATGATGGGTATCATGTTGGACTGAAAATAACTTCTGAATAATCCCCCGTAATATCTATGACATGCCACAAAATGACCCTACTTCTGGCAGACCTCCCTCCACAAGGGTAAGTTAAGAAGGGGTATATACATCTGAAAAATCTACAATACTCTGAGGTTACCTCATTTGGAAGCTCTGTCGAGGGGGTAACTGGAATTGATGGTGTCTCTTCCTTATTGGCTGACAATTGTGGATCCTCTTCGAAGTCTGCATCTCTTTTCGGATCGTCATTTATCTCTTCAACTAAAAGCTAGTTCTCTTTTGTCCTCACAAACATCAATGCCAGCGGTGTCGTTGCCCAAATTTTCGATGACGCCCTACTCGGCGAAGTAGAACACTCCTCTGGTTGTGCATTCTGCGCCAACATATCCAAATCCGTAGCACTTGTAGCATTTTCTGGCTATGACAGTTTTGATGATTGGTTTCGTTGGATAGTAACAGGAGGGGTTGCTTAGTTATGCAGTCTCTCCACTTCGAAAGCTAAAGTCTGCGACTTTTGGCGGTAGTAAGTTGATAGGAACTGACGTTGTATTTCATGCTTCATCTTTATATCTTCTTGGACCCTTCGACCTTTTGGATTACGGTCGAGGGAAGTCTTCAATTGGATTTCATCTTCTATGTCTGTAATCCACCACCGAAGTCGAAGGATCTCTCGCTGTATCTTCTCTTGGGAAGGCTCATGCATGTATCTCACTGGTGGCATGGTTAGGATTTAGGAATTGGAAGGAAAAAAAAATAGTGGAGGTGAAAGAGGATAAAAAATAATTGGGTCAAGGTTGCTGATTTTAAAAATCGACGAAGGCAATCAGGCTTAGGAACATGTAGCAATGGAACGGGTATTGGGTAGTAGAAAGGAAATTTTGTGGGTTGTGGAGGACGCTAGGAAACCTTATGATATGACAAGGGTTGGGCTAGCTTTAATACCAAATGATGTCGGATGAGAAAGCCCAAATCACAAAATAAACACAATATTACTGCTGAACTGAAAGAGCTTACAAACA